GCATGGTCCCCGGGTCCGAGGGCCCGGCTCGCGCCGGGGGCCTGGTAGCTGACGTGGTGTTTGTGATTGAGGGCACCGCCAACCTAGGGCCCTACTTCGAGGGGCTCCGCAAGCACTACCTGCTCCCGGCCATCGAGTGAGTCCCATTTCCACAACTCCAGCCCCGCCCTCCGACTTTCGTTTTTCGCAGCCTCTTGCCTGACCCCGAACTTTTCATCTCCGACCCTCACAGGTATTTTAATGGTGGTCCTCCCGCCGAGACGGACTTCGGGGGAGACGTGAGTCTTGGGACTCTTGAGACTGAGGGAGGAGGGGCCGGGGGTCTGGACCCCTGGGTCTGAGGGAGGAGGGGCTGGAGGTCTGGACTCCTGGGTCTGAGGGAGGAGGGGCTGGAGGTCTGGACTCCTGGGTCTGAGGGAGGAGGGGCTGGAGGTCTGGACTCCTGGGTCTGAGGGAGGAGGGGCTGGAGGTCTGGACTCCTGGGTCTGAGGGAGGAGGGGCTGGAGGTCTGGACTCCTGGGTCTGAGGGAGGAGGGGCTGGAGGTCTGGACTCCTGGGTCTGAGGGAGGAGGGGCTGGAGGTCTGGACTCCTGGGTCTGAGGGAGGAGGGGCTGGAGGTCTGGACTCCTGGGTCTGAGGGAGGAGGGGCTGGAGGTCTGGACTCCTGGGTCTGAGGGAGGAGGGGCTGGAGGTCTGGACTCCTGGGTCTGAGGGAGGAGGGGCTGGAGGTCTGGACTCCTGGGTCTGAGGGAGGAGGGGCTGGGGGCCTGGACCCCTGGGTCTGAGGGAGGAGGCTGGGGGCCTGGGCTCCTGGGTCTGAGGGAGGAGGAGCTGGGGCCTGGGTCCGAGGGAGGCGGGGCTGGGAGCCACTACTTGCTCTCTGAGATCTTAGCTGAGCTCCCTGCCCCCCTCCCAGTATGGGGGGACCCAGTACAGCCTCGTGGTGTTCAACACGGTGGACTGCGCTCCCGAGTCCTACGTACAGTGTCACGCTCCCACCAGCAGCGCCTATGAGTTCGTCACCTGGCTCGATGGCATTAAGTGAGCTTCCCCTGTGCTTGGGGTGGGGTGGGGGGCCCTGTGAGGGGCCGTGGACGGATGGAGGCTGGGGTCACACCCGGTGGCTGAAAGGCCTGGGGGGTTGAAGCAGGGGATTGTGTTTTTGTTCATAAGTTACTTCTGTGATGGGTTCTGTGTGCTCCGCGATGCTGCCATTGGGTTGGGAGGTAGAAACGCTTGCTCCAGGCGGCCTTGAGCTCAGTACCCCCTTGGTCCTCCATGCGTGATTCTCCACTTTCTGTCCGCGGTTCCTCATCTCTACTCCAGTCCTTTTCCAGGGCTCACTGACGCCTGAGGGCAGGGGACGGGGCAGGGGACCCGGGCCTGGACGGATCCCTCTGTGCTTTGCACGGAATTTCGTTAGTTAACGTTGCAGACTCTTGCAGGTGCACACAGCCTGGAGCCAGATCACTGCAGTCCCAGACCCAGGGCCCCCTGTCCTCTCTGTGCCTAATACAACTTATCCTTCAGGGGGGTGTGTGTGCTAATAAGACAGACGGTTCCTGACTTAAGATTTTTCCAACTTTGTGATGGTGCAAAAGCGATAGGCATTCAATGCAAACCGGCCAGGTAAAGCTCTATGTCCGGGAGGTTAAATGCATTTTGTTTTTTGTTGTTTTTAAATATATTTTTATTGACTTTTTTTTTACAGAGAGGAAGGGAGAGGGATAGAGAGTTAGAAACATCGACGAGAGAGAAACATCCATCAGCTGCCTCCTGCACACTCCCTACTGGGGATGTGCCGGCAACCAAGGTACATGCCCTTGACCGGAATCGAACCTGGGACCCTTCAGTCCGCAGGCCGACGCTCTATCCACTGAGCCAAACCGGTTAGGGTGGTTAAATGCATTTTAAACTTGTGATATTTTCAGCTGACGATGGGTTTCCTTGGGTGTACATTCAGGAGCATCTGTACTTGTATTCGTTAGTTGTCGTATTGCTTATCCGTTGACGTGTAAGAGGTTACCCCAAGACTCAGTGGCTTAAAAACAAGCCTATATTATCTCGTGCGGTTTCTGTAAGGCATTCAGGAGTAGCTTAGCTGGAGAGCTCTTGCTCCGGATCTCTCTCACGAAGGTGCAGTCACCAGAGGTTTGATTGGTTCTCAGAGGATCGTTTCCCGGGTGGCTCCTGCTATGACTGGAGGCTGGAGGGCCCCCCGCCTTCCTGGCCGTTTGCCACCAGGGCTCCCGTCGGGGCCGCGTGAGTGTCCGCCCAACATGGCCGCTCCGCTGGCTTTCCTCAAACGGAGCCATCCACCAGAAAGAGCAAAGAGGAAGCCACAAGCTTTTAAAAATCAAGTCTTGGAAGTCATACATCCTCACTTCTGCCGAATTCTGTTTGATGCACAGTCAGCTGTAATCAGTGTTTGAGGGGTGGGCATACTAAGGGGTGAGGAGCAGGGGGAGGAGATCACCGGGGCCTGGCTGCCATGCCTTCATAGGGGTGCATTGGGGAGGAGATGAGTGGGTGATTTACAGAGAGGAAGGGAGAGGGATAGAGAGTTAGAAACATCGGTGAGAGAGAAACATCGATCAGCTGCCTCCTGCACACTCCCTGCTGGGGATGTGCCCGCAACCAAGGTACATGCCCCTGACCGGAATCGAACCCGGGACCCTTGAGTCCGCAGGCCGACGCTCCATCCACTGAGCCAAACCGGTTAGGGCAGGAATGGGTGACTGAAATCAGTGCCTGGCATGGATTCAGTGCTACCTGAGTGTTTGCTGTTACTTTGTGTCTCAGTTTCTTGGTTTGCAAATGGATGGCGGTAGTCGTATCCCAGTATTGTTGGGAGGATCACAGGAGCTAGTCTGTGTCCTGTGTGGAGCTCAGGTCTGGTCTGTGGTCAGAGCCCTTGAAACAGCACCCTTTCATTACGTTCCTTCAGCAAATGTTTGCTTTGTTCCGGGCTGTGTGCTGGACTGGGTGCCCAAGGTTCAGCGGGCAGGTGACGCCTGCTTTTCCCTCACGGCCATTAGAATTCGTGGTCAGGGGAGAGCAGGGTTTCTCCACCTCTGCGCTGTTGGTGCAGATCCTTGGCCTCTACCCACCAAATGTCAGCAGCCACTTCCCTCCAAATTGTGACAAACCAGAATGTCTTCAGACACTGTCAAATGTCCCTGCGGGTAAAACCGACCCCGATTGAGAACAGCTGGGATAGACTGTGGTTGATAAGACATGAACCGTGTTAAATGGGGTTCCCTGGGGCCTGAGTCCAAGTCTGATGGCCCTCAATTTCTAGCACCCAGCACAGGAGGCCTGGCGCAAAGGGGGCTGGAGGAAAGCCTGATTGAACAAGTGGGTGAATGAACTAATGCCCACAATGCACTTCATACTCGGACTCTCCCTGGCAAACTGTATCGGCTTCCAGACCCACCTTCAGTGCCCGCCCCTGATTCTGACGAGCAGCCAGTTGCTCCCTCTTTTGCCCCCATGACTTCAAGGTGCTCACTTGTCACAGCCCCACACCCATCTTTGGGTTGTGCACGTCCAGGACCCTGGGTGTTGGCTTCCAGCTGGGGCCTGGCACCCAAGAGGCCTGAGGAAACCTCGGCTGAATAAATGAGTGAGTGAAAGCTCTAGGGAGGGTAATCACCACAAACCAAATCTTCCGATGGGGGTTTAAGTATCGGGAAAAGCAGTCAAACCCCCTGAATTAAAAACTTCAAGGGCACTAGGAAGCTAAGAGAGAAATGTTTTCTTTATATATATAAGTAGACATTTTTTATCGATTGATTTTTTTTATTTTTAAAGCTTTATTTATTGATTGACTTTAGAGAGAGAGGAAGGGAGAGAGAGACAGACACACTGATATGTTCCACTTTTTTTTTTTTAAATGTTTTTATTGATTTCAGAGAGGAAGGGAGAGGGAGAGAGAGATAGAAACATCAATGATGAGAGAGAATCAATGATTGTCTGCCTCCTGCACGCCCCCCTACTGGGGATCGAGCCTTCGAGCCTTTGACTGGAATCGAACCCAGGACCCTTCAGTCCGCAGGCTGATGCTCTATCCACTGAGCCAAAACCAGCTAGGGCTGTTCCACTTTACTTATGCATTCATTGGTTGGTTCTTGTATGTGCTCTGACTAGGGCTCGAATCCACACCTTGGCATATGGGGATGATGCTCTGTCTACCTGAGCTACTAGGCCAGGCCTGGGAAGTGCTTCCTGAATACCTTCATCACATAGCCACCTTCCCGGTTCATCAGCTTAGAGTACACTGTGTCTTTAAGCAACTGAGAATGCTTTGTATGCTGTATGCGCCCTGCAGAACCCTCTCAATCGGTTGATAAACATTTTAAGCTATTGTTTTACATTCACTGTCGTCATTGTTTTTATCAGTCCTATGTAACCATCTGCATTCAGTTTCTGAGATGTTCCAGGCAGGTCTGTCACAGATCACAGAGAGTCAGCAAGTTTTGTTCGCACTTGGGGAAATCTTATCTTCTCCGGGAGTGTCGGGAACTTCGGGAACAACGCATGCAGTGTGACTTTTGAATCGGCCTTGGTTTGGGAAGGTGCATTTCTGATGTTACATTTCCTGTTTTACAAAAGAGGTGGTTTTCCCCCTCCTACAGCTTGTGACTCAGGTCAGAAAGGAGAAGTTAGAAGGAAAAGAGCCCTTGGAGTCTGCCCCGTGGCACTGTGACAAGTCATTCGTTCATTCATTCATTCAACAGACATTTGTAGAGCAAACTGTCCTAGGCACTGAGGAGTCAGGCACATAAGACGGGCAAGTCCTGACCCTCTTGGGCGGGGGACCTGGCTCGCAGGGAGCCCTCAGTCAGGGCTGGCTGCTGATCACACTCATTGATTGGACCTGCACCTCGGGGGCCTCCAGGGACCTGCTAGCTGGTGAAAGTGGGCAGTGCAGGTTTTGAGGTTATGACATCGGGCTGGACAAATGGGGCAAGTGAGAGCACCCAGAGTACTTTCAGTTTGTTTTTTATTTACTTTGTGTCTGTGTCAGCGGGGTTATTAGGAGCTAAAGTGTATCATAAATTTTATATTTATTTATTTTTAAAATTTTTATTAATTTCAGAGAGGAAGGGGGAGGGAGGGAGAGAGAGAGAGAAACCTCAATGATGAGAGAGAATCATTGATCGGCTGCCTCCTGCACACCCCCCCACTGGGGATCGAGCCCACAACCTGGGCATGTGCCCTGACCAGGAGTCGAACCGTGACCTCCTGGTTCATAGGTCAACGCTCAATCACTGAGCCATGTCGGCTGGGCTTTTTTTCCCCTCTTTCTTTTCCCCACTGATTTCAGAGAGGGAGAGATCGGCTGGGCTTTTTTTTTCCTCTTTCTTTTCCCCACTGATTTCAGAGAGGGAGAGAAATGGAAACATCAGTGCTGAGAGAGAATCCTTGATCTGTTGCCTCCTGCAACCCAGGCATGTGCCCTGATGGAGAATCGAACTGTGACCTCCTGGTTCATAGATGGAATGGACACTCAACCACTGAGCCACGCTGGCCGGGCAACTTTATGATATTTAAAACATTTTACGCCCTGACCGGTTTGGCTCAGTGGATAGAGCGTCGGCCTGCCGACTGAAGGGTCCCAGGTTCGATTCCGGTCAAGGGCATGTACCTTGGTTGCGGGCGCATCCCCAGTGGGGGGTGTGCAGGAGGCAGCTGATCGATGTTTCTAACTCTCTATCCCTCTTCCTTCCTCTCTGTAAAAAATCAATAAAATATATTTAAAACAAAACATTTTACAACTGATCGTATTTTTTCCTTGCTCCCCATTTTCAAGTTGTTCTCATGTTTTGGGCAGAACATTTGTTACGTTTCTTCCTCTGAGTTGGTAACAGATTGCTCATGGTCAGTGTTCGGTAAGGAGCAACTTTTAGGATCTCAAAGTGGTCGGTTGGTTACACGTCCCTCATAAATTACATTTTTAAATTGAGCTGAACTTTACATAGCAAAAGTAGTCATTTAGAAGTGAACAGTTCAGCTCGGCTGGTGTCCGATGGTGTCTGGGACCCTGTTCCTCCTCGGGCACATCCTAGTGATGGCTCCGTCCAATTGGTCTCCTTCCCTGACCTGCCGGAACCAAGTACTAAAAACTGGGTGGCTCAGAACAGTGGGAATGCGGTGTCTCAGGTCAGGATCCAGGAGTCCGAGCTCAGGGGTGGGCCGGGCCTGGTGCTCTCTGGAGCCTTCCTGTCTCTTCCAGCTTCTGGTCACCCCAGACGTTTCTCGCTTGGTGGCCGTGTCACTCCGGTCTCCACATGGTGTTCTCCCTGTGTCTCTACGTCACCTTTTCCTCTAAGCGTATCTGTCTGTGTCCCGGTTCCCTCTTTTTATACGACACGGGTCATACTGGGTGCGGGCCCTTCCGCAGTGTGGCCTGAGCACCTCTGTGAAGGTCCTGCTTTCCGATAACACGCATTCTGAGGACCTGGGTGAGGACCTCAACATGTCTCTTCCTGGGGACACCATTGAGCCCATAGCACTGGGAGCAGAGGGGCCTCTGTACCAGGCTGGGACGGCGAGGCTGGGGCTGGCTTTAAAGATGGAGAGATGGCCCCGAGGCGGGAGGCGCATGGGGATTGGGATCCCAGGCCCTTTCCCTGGTCCATCCTCTGATGGGGCCTCTTCCGAGAGAGACTCCCTCGCCGGAGATGACAAATGTCCCCTGGCCCCGTTCTTTGTCCTGGCACTGTGCCAGCACGGGGGATAGAGCAGGGAACTCAACAGTGTCCCCATCCCAAGGCGCACAGTCCTGTGCTGGGTAGGGGAGGGCGCGGGCGCAGGTTCTTCAAGTGTGGCCTGGGGGCTGGGAGGTGCCGCAGGGACCCTGAGGACTGACAGCCTGGCCTCGTGCAGGTTCATGGGCGGGGGTGGCGAGAGCTGCAGCCTCATCGCAGAAGGCCTCAGCACGGCCCTGCAGCTGTTCGATGACTTCAAGAAGATGCGAGAGCAGATGTGAGTACGCCCGGTGCGGGGTCCCGTGTCCCGTGTTGGTCTCTGTCCACTTGGCTCAGAACCCGCTTTGCCTGTCGCAGGACTCCACCCCCGTCTCACATTGGGGAGTCAGGGCTGGGAATCCGGAAGTGGCCCCTGGCTGGTGCCTCATCAGGAAGGGGTGTCGGACTCCTAGCTCCCCTGTGCGCTGCCGACTTGGGGTCAGGAACCTCAGGGCCTCAGTGTTCTCAGCTGTAAAATGGGGCCATTCCTCCTGGCTTCCTGTGGGCGGAGTCCTCGTACCTCTGCTGTGCTGAGTCTGGGTCCCTTTTCAGGGCCTTGTTGCCACCTGTTCCACATCTGTCCTTGTTCTTGGCAGTGGCCAGACACACCGCGTCTGCCTCCTCATCTGTAATTCGCCCCCATACCTGCTGCCCGCTGTTGAGAGCACCACATACTCCGGGTGCACAACGGAAAGTCTCGTGCAGAAGATTGGGGAGGTGAGGACGCCCGGGTGTTGGGGAGGGGGGCTAGGGCTGGACTTTTGGGTCACAGAATCCCCTGGGGCAGCTAATTCAGGTCTCGTGGTCCCCTGTCCCAAAGCCTGATGGGAATTTAGTTTTAGGGTCCACGCCGTCCAGCCACCTAGCAGGTGTGTGTAGTAGCCGGGGGGCTGGCCCCTGTGGCCCAGTCCTTACTGCTCGTCCCCTCTCCTGCAGCGAGGGATCCACTTCTCCATCGTGTCCCCTCGGAAGCTGCCTGCCCTGCGGCTTCTGTTCGAAAAGGCGGCCCCCCCGGCCATGCTGGAGCCACTGCAGCCGCCAGCAGACGTGAGCCAGGACCCACGGCACATGGTGCTGGTGCGGGGACTCGTGCTGCCCGGTGAGGCCCGCTCGCCGCTGGGGGATGGGGGTGTTCTCGCCGGCTGACTCCCTCTGACTTGGATTTCCTTTCCCTCTCCAACCACTTCTCATGGGGCTCCATTGCCCATCCGCCATTGTCCATCCTCGGCTCTCAGTCGGGGGTGGCTCGGCCCCAGGCCCCCTCCAGCCAAAGCAGCCCGTCTCCCTGCCTCCAGCTCCATCCTCGAGTGCTGCGCTCTCGGCAGCCCCCCAGCAGCCTCTGCCCTCCGTCCCCCAGCAGTACCAGGTATGGGCATCCCAGGAAGGGACATGCTCTGGGGCCTTGTGGGAGCCCTGCCCCTTGGAAGAGGCCTGGTTGGATGCTGGCACGTGGGGGTTTCCCTAGAGACATGCAGAGGGTGGGACTCTTGGGGGGCGAGGAATCATGTCCCTGTGGGGAGATGGGAGTCATGAGCTCCTGTGATACTGGAGTCGGGGTGCCTGTGCCTTGTGGGGGGTGTGGCCCCATGTGACAACAGGACTGGGGTGCATGGTCCTCATCAGCCCCTCCCCTCTATTTCCAGGTTCCCGGGAACCTGAGCGCAGCTCAGGTGGCTGCTCAGAATGCAGTGGAGGCTGCCAAGAACCAGAAGGCTGGGCTGGGCCCGCGCTGTGAGTCCAGGGGCGACAGTACAGGGCAGGGCGGCGGAGGCAGCCAGACCTCTCTCCCAGTGAGGCCCGCTCGCCGCTGGGGGATGGGGGTGTTCTCGCCGGCTCACTCCCTCTGACTTGGATTTCCTCTCCCCTTGGTTTCTCCCAGTCTCGCCCATCAACCCTCTCCAGCAGGCGGCTCCAGGAGTGGGTCCCCCCTTCAGCCAAGCCCAGGCCCCTGCGCTGCCACAGGGGCCACCTGGCGCCCCCAAGCCGTCTCCCACTTCCCAGCCCAACCTGGTCTCCACGGTGGCTCCTGTTCAGGGCCTGGCCCCCACTGCACAGCCTGGGCCACCGTCCATGGTAGGTGTCCGTATGCCTCCCACTTGCTGTGGTTGCCCCACTCCCCCTGTCTGCCCCAGGCTAGCACAGTGCAGAGGACAAGCAATTTGCCTGCCTGAGGAGGGCCCAAGGGTGTGGGTGTGGTTCCTGGTGGATGAAGATTATTCTGATGATCCCACGGGCTCCTGTTCTGAGTCCTGGAATCTTCCAGGATCAGAGTGTTTATATCTGAGGGTAGGCCACGGGGATGCAGAGGAAGAGGCCTTCGTCCCGTTCTTGCTGGCCTGTCTCTCTCAGGACAGTCCCTCCCAGGAGCTGGTCTGACCCCCTCCCCACCCTCCTTTCTGTCCTCCAGCAGGCAGGCACGGTTGCTCCAGGTGGGGTGAGTGGCCCCTCCCCAGCCCAGCTCGGGGCCTCGGCCCTCGGGGGGCAGCAGTCCGTCTCCAACAAGCTCCTGGCCTGGAGCGGGGTCCTCGAGTGGCAGGAGGTGAGTTGGCTTGAGGAGTCCTGGGCAGGTGGGTCAGGGCCGGGCCTGGCGGGGTGCAGGGTGAGACCAGGGCCGCCACAGGGTCATGGGCTTGTAGTCCCAGGTCGTCAGTCCCCAGGACGCCCAGGTTGGGACTAAGGAGGTGGTAGGAATTGTATTGCAGGTGAAGAACCGAGGCGTCTCAGATTCTGGGTACAGACTGACCCAGGGGGTTGTAGCATGAAGGAGACAGAGGGTTGTGGGATTTGGGGCAAGAGGAGGAGCTCAACATTTGTGGAAAGACTAGAGAATTGTGGGATTGATGGTACTAAGGAGGGGCCCAGGGTTCTTAGGACTGAAACTTGGGGAGATCCGGAGCTTTGGGGCTCCCAGGGTTGGGCAGGAGGGGGTGAGCGGACTGAGACTTGGGCCTCTCTGGCTGTGATATGCCTATTTCCCCCTCAGAAACCCAAACCTGCCTCCGTGGATGCCAACACCAAGCTGACGCGGTCACTGCCTTGCCAGGTCTACGTCAATCAGGGCGAGAACCTGTAGGTGACTGTCGGGGGGTGGGGCGGGCTGGGGTTTGCATCCTCCTGACACCTCTCTTCGCGTCGCCCCAGGAAAACAGAGCAGTGGCCCCAGAAACTGATCATGCAGCTCATCCCCCAGCAACTGCTGGTGAGTGGCAGGCGGGAGCAGCCCTAACCCCTGCCCATTCTCTCTTCCCTCATCCCTCCCCTCTCCCCTCATCCCTCCCCTCTCCCCTCATCCCTCCCTTCTTCCCTCATCCCTCTCCTGCCCCTTCCACCTATGCTCCCCTCCTCACTTCCCCACTCAACACGCTGTGTCTCCCCAGACCACACTGGGCCCTTTGTTCCGGAACTCAAGGATGGTCCAGTTCCATTTCACCAACAAGGACCTGGAGTCGCTCAAAGGCCTCTACCGCATCATGGGCAACGGCTTTGTGAGTCCTGGGGGGGACCAGGGTGCCGACTCTGGTCCGGTTGGTGGGCTTTGTGAGCTTGGCCCCCTCAGCCTCCTTCCAGAGCCTTCGCTCGCGTTATAACTATAATATGTGCCCGGTGGGATTCCACTCCCTGGTGAGATGTGGCAGGAGCAATCGGGAAGAAGTTGGCTCTGACAGAGGTTTGCTGGGTGTATTGGTTTTCTGGGGCTGAGAGCAACAGAACTTTATTCTCACAGTTGGGGAAACCAGCATCCAAAATCCGGGTCAGCAGGGCAGGACCCCTCATGGCCTCTTGCACCAGGCAGCCCAGGCGTTGGCTTCAGGCAGTACAAGTCCAGTCTCTGCCTCCATCTTCGCATGGCCGTCCTCTCACTGTGTCTGTGCCCGTGCCTGCGCGTGGCATTCTCCTCCCTGTGTGTGTCCTGCTTTCTTTCTTTTTTTTATAGCAAAGGGTGGAAATTTATCGAGAAACAAGCACAGACTCCCACGAAGGGAGGGGGAAGTGTCCCCCTGTCCTGCTTTCTTATAGAGACACAGTCACTGGACTAAGGCCCACTCTGATGTCTTCATTTTAACTCGTTACATCTGCAAGGACCTTATTTCCAAGTAAGGTCACATGTATTTTTGGAGGACAGTTCAACCTACACCCCCGAGGGAGGTCTCCCTACATAGGAGCAGGTCCAATGTTGAGTACGTCCCGTGGACCCAGCCCTTCTCCAGGAGAGGGAACTTTTGGTGGCTTACCTCATGGAATCCTCGGGAACACGATCCTCAGCGTCAGGAATGCTGCCAGCTCCAATAACATAAACCCAACCAGCAGAGTTTTTAGAACAAACAGATGATCGGGATGGGGGCCTAAAACCATTTTCTCTCTCATGGTTCTGTGGGTAGACTGGGCTCAGCGGGGCTAGTCTCGCTTGGGAACTTTTGTGGGGTTGTCCTCAGATGATGGCTGAGGCTAGTCACCTACCTGAAAGCTCGAATGGGCAAGAGGCTCAAGGTTCACTCACATGGTACAGGCTGTCGGCTCGGGGCTCAGCTCAGCCCGGCCCTCAGAGTGCCCACCCGTGGCCTCTGCATGTGACTTGGGCTTCCTCACAGCGTGGCAGCCGGCTTCTGAGAAGGACATCCCGGAGTGAGCTGTGCCAGCGGGCGTTTGTTTCTGACACAGCAGGATGTCCAGAGGCAGGCAGCCGTTGGAGTGAGTTTTACCGCCCCAGGGTGTCAGGGCCAAGATTCTGTTGGCTTCTCTCTGACGGTCACAAGATGGTCCTGAAGCTCCAGGCATCTTGCGTGACTTGATGCAGGAAGGCAAGAAGGAAGTGTGGCGTCCGTCATGTATCCCTGTCTCTTCTGGAAAGCAGACACTTCCCCACGCCCCCAAGCAGGCTTCATCTGGGGCAGATGCAGGGCTCCGGGGCCCAGACACGCTGCTGCCCCAGGCAGAAGGGCGGGGAGGGCAGCTCGCAGGATCTGCCTCAGATGAGAAACCAAAGCTCAGAGAGGTAAACTCACTTGGCCAAGGTCCCAGAGGTGGCTCTTCAACCTCGTCAGCCCCACCTCCCTCAGGAGCTTCCGTGTATTATGGTTTCACTTCACGTAACGTTTTCTCGGCACGTCCTGTGTGTCCAGCTGTGGCCAGGATGCCTGGCGTGCATGGTGTGATGCTAGTGCTGCTGTCTTCCGTTCTCACTGGCAGAGGCTGCGGCCAGGAAGGGTGTGGCCATCCCCTAAGGGTCTTGCATCCCATGGGTCCGACGTGCTTCAGGTGCCCGCTCTGTGTTGAAGCCTCTCCTCAGCCGTGAGCCCTCCCAGCAGCCTCACGAGGTGGAGGTGGGGGTCAAGGTTGCAGAGCGGGACCCAGCCCCGTGTTTGGGCCTGGCCCTGCCCTTCGGGGCTCTCAGCGCTCCTTTAAGCAACTCAGTTTGTTTCTGGAGCAACTTCAAGCAATGCTCCAGTCTCCTCAGCATTTCCCAGCAGAAACCTCGCCTCTCCTCGATGGGCTTCTAGGACCTTCTAGAACCAGGAGGGTGGGATACCTCCTCCTGCAGGGTGTGACTTTCTGATTCTCTCCCCCCAGGCGGGCTGCGTGCACTTCCCCCACACGGCCCCCTGTGAGGTGCGCGTGCTCATGCTCCTGTACTCGTCCAAGAAGAAGATCTTCATGGGCCTCATCCCCTACGACCAGAGTGGCTTCGTCAACGGCATCCGGCAGGTCATCACCAACCACAAGCAGGTGCAGCAGCAGAAGCTGGAGCAGCAGCGCGGGGTGAGCGATGCCGGTCCCTGTCCCATCCCCGCCCTCCTAGTGCCTGCCCACCTGGGCCCCAGAACTCCTGGCCAACCCCCCAGGGGCCCCGTGGGGCTCTAATACCAGCCACTTACTCCTCTCTCAAGACGCAGGCATCCAGGTGCAGTCCCATCCCCACATTTCTTTGCGACCTTTCTCTCCCTTTTCAGTGACCTCGTGGAATCTCCAAGACACAGGCCCCTCCTGGGGACCTGGGAACGTAAAGTTTCCTTCCCAGACCCTCACCTTCAAAGAAATGTTCCCAGCTCCTTAAAGGTTCCCCTTCTGGGCTCAGATCTCTGACGTGTGGAGTGATCCTCTCAGAGCCGCTCCACACGCACTCAGCGACCTGCTCCTTCTCTCCCTGTACAGATGGGGGCGCAGCAGGCACCGCCCGGGCTGGGCCCCATTCTGGAGGACCAGGCCAGGCCCTCACCGAATCTGGTGAGGACAAAGCCAGCAGGGTCAGGGCCAGGGCTGTGGAGGCCGAGGGGTCTGGAGTCTCTTGCTCACCCGCATTTCTTCCCATTAGCTCCAGCTCCGCCCACCGCAGCCCCAGCCTCAGGGCACTGTGGGGGCCTCTGCAGCCGTAGGGCAGCCCCAGCCCCAGAGCGCTGCCCAGGCTCCCCCAGGCGCTGCCCAAGGCCCTCCCGGAGCAGCTCCTGGCCCGCTCCCTCCTGGACCTATCCTTCGGCCCCAGAACCCTGGGGCCAATCCCCAACTGCGGAGCCTCCTCCTTAACCCACCACCGGTGAGATTTGGGGTGAAGGGGGCATCTGGGAACACGGGTCCTGGGCTGTGACAGTTCTAGACCTTTCATCTCGGAGGAGGGAGGTTGGCTTCATAAAAGGTGTGAGCACCAGCCCGCCAGCTCCTGTCTGTGTGTCTTCCCTGGGCTTCTGCTAAGATTTCTTTGAAGGAAGACCCCACACAGATGACTGGCTGAGACATGCTCTGAGCACTTTCTGTGCCAGAGGCTTCGTGGTTGGGCGGGGTCTCCTCACTGGGGTCTCTGAGCCGCATTTTTGTTCCCTCAGCCCCAGACGGGGGTGCCCCCACAGCAGGCTTCCCTTCACCACCTCCAGCCACCAGGGGCCCCTGCGCTGCTGCCCCCACCGCACCAGGGCCTGGGGCAGCCCCAGCTGGGACCCCCCCTCCTGCACCCGCCACCTGCCCAGTCCTGGCCTACACAGCTTCCCCCGCGGGCTCCACTGCCAGGTAAGGAGGTCTGGGGGAGGCCAGGGTCTGGACTGAGTGTCCCAGCAGCCCCTGGGCTGGAGCCCTAACATTACCAAGAGCTCCTGGGAAGCAAAGTCCTGGAATTCAAGAAGAGTGCATCCCTGCTTGGCTTTGGGGAGTTCTGAGGGTTAGGGGCCCAAAAACCTAGAGGGCAAGAGCTCTCCCCATGATTCCTCTCTTGCGTGTTCTCTGGGGTTTGCTGGGAAATGTAGGCTTAGGGCCAGAGAGATGTTTTGGGGGGTGGGCTTCCAAAGGCATATGGGAGACAGCACATTCCTGTCCAGATGGGGCCAGAAAGCGCCTCTGACGGGTCCCCCAGGGCTTTCTAGACAACTTAGTGCCTTGGACTAAGTTGAGGAGGAGGGAGAAAGTAGCCCCAGGGCCCTTCAGGGCCCCAGGGACGACTGGGAGATGCAGTCCCTTCCCCCCCGCCCCCCCCCAGGTCAGATGCTGCTGAGCGGGGGTCCCCGGGGCCCGGTCCCCCAGCCGGGCCTGCAGCCCAGCGTCATGGAGGACGACATCCTCATGGATCTCATCTGAACCCCCAACACCCAATAAAGTTCCTTTTAACACATGCCCCGGCTCCCGTCACTGTCGTCCCCCAGGACTGGGCAGGAGGAGACCGGGGGGAGACATCTCTGTCCTTGTTCTTGCTGCAGCAGACATCCCGAGGCCCAGGCTGGTGACGCCTGGCCTTGGCAGTGAGTAGTCAGGCGGTCTGGTACAGCCTGGCTGGGGAGACGTGGAGGCAGGCAGGCACCAGGTGGAGGGGCGCTCAGGCTCCAAACTGAGCAGCTTGAGGTTTGTCCTGGGGACACAAGAACCACAGAAGGCTACTAGCAGGGGATGGGCCTTGGTCTGCCAGGAGTCAGAAAAACGGGGAGGAGGCTGGGGGGAATGGAGGCTGGGGACTGGTGTGCCATGTAAAGGAAGTTGGGGATTTGGGGGCACTGAGGTGGGCCCCCAGGACCTGTCCTGGGTGCTGGTAGGTGGTGGGGCTTCTCTGAGTTAGGGGACTGGGGGAAGGAGCCAGTGGTGAATGCTAATGGTCTAAGGTATGTTCAGGTGACAGCTGCCAGGGTGGGAGCTCATGATGTGTCCTTAGGAGATGTGTGTGTTTGGTGGTTGAAGGCACAGAGCGGACGAGATCACATGTGGAAAGACGTCCCAGTCGGAGACCTACCTTCAGGGGCTTTGGATAGATGGACAGTGGGGCTGTCCCTGGGGTGGAAACCCAGCAGGAAGCAGGTTCGGGATGTGGTGAGGCAAGGGACCTGAAGGGTGTCCTCAGAGACAAGTCCAGAGGGCAGCTGGTAATAGGCCCAGGTGCGGGGCTTGTGGGTGGTCTCCCTGGAGGCAGAGTCAGCTGTCTGTTGTCAAACTCTAGACCAGTGTTGCTCAGAGCGTGGTCCACTATGGACCACCAGCATCCACATTGTTTGGGACGCTGGTTAACATTAGATTCCTGGGCCCTGTCCCGGGAGAGAGGTTGCAATATGGTGGCCCATGGGCCACTCTACAGATGGGTTTTGTTTGGCCTTCCCTGTGTTAGCATACGTGGTATTTTTTCCTAAAGAGTTAGTTGTAAAAATCAGGATAATTCTTTCTCTCTCTCACACACACACACAGACACACACACAAAATCTGTAGTCTTGGCTTCTCTTGACAAGTCAGGAGATCTGGCACCCCTGGCCTGCCCTGTTGCCTAGCAACAACGGGCTGGAGCTGCCCCTTTCGATGGGGCGTGTGCTCTCTAATTCGCCACAGTCCCCACCACTCCCTCTTGGCTCTCCCACCTTTGTCACTGGGTTTGCCCTGTAGTTGTTCCTGTGGTAGTGTGCAGAGGAAAGTGAAATCTTTCTTGTACCCATGTCTCTATCAAAAGTGTCACAACCAAAGAGAGAACGAGAGGGCCCCGTGTTTCGAAAAAAATGGGAGCGAGACTATTTCTTTGTGGAAGTGAAGAACATGCCTACGTGTTTAATATGCAAAAAAATCATGTCTGTGTTGAAAGAGTACAACCTGAAACGTCATTATGAATCAAAGCACAGTAAGAACTTCGACCAGTATACAGACCAGACACGAGATGCGATGCTCAGTGAACTGAAAAAGGGCCTCAAGTGTCAGTAGGGTTTGGAAAGCCAACCGTAGAAATGCCGTGGCTGCCACATGCAGCCTCACAGTGATGTGAAGAGAATTACCTGGGCATTAAAACCTCCGACACACGGCGAGTTTATAAAGGAGCAGATGACATGTCCTGGACAGAAAACACATCTGTTTGGGCCATTATTTAAGTCGAACAGGCGTTTATTTGCATTGTACGGTGTGTCGAAGAGAAATCAGAAGATTGACAAGTCCAGTTGCTCGGAAGAGTCAAATCTATTGTGGCCTTTTCTATTTCTGCGCATGAACTACTTCCACCCAGTTAGCTTTATTTATTTGTGAAGTTGAGAATTTTCATGTGACCGAAGAAGTCTGTGACATGGTGCCAGGGCAGGCCCAACACTGGGTAAAGGCTTATTTTTGTGTATTTGCAGAAATGAAAAGTTTTACGTAGACAGGTCCGAACTCCTAAGCACAGCCACAGACAGTTGTAACGTAATGACCTATGTCACAGGGGTACTTGTCGGGACTCCACAGTCCAAGGTGGCAACGTTTGGTGAGGACAGTCAGGTGATTGTATCAGTCACCTGGAACTGAACTGTGCAAAGAAAGTCAGTGGAGCACACCGCGGTCGCCCTTGATGCGCTTCTGTACGTTCATCACAGGCAGGTTGATGGTGAACGTGAGCCAGTGTATTCCACAGAAGCCCTATGACCTGGTCGTCACGTGATGTGTGGAAGAAGGCAGAACTGTTGCAACCAATCTACTTGGTTCATTTCCGATGAGGCAAAAGCCACACCTTGGTTTCCCTGTGAAAGTTGGTCAAAGACTTTGGGTCAAGGTTATGACCCTCCTGAACACTTTTTCTGCGCAAGAACATTCACAAACAGCGACTTGAATGTATGATCATGTCTGCCCAGTCCTGGCAAAAACGGGAAGCCATAAGCAAGGAATATTCTGCCTCCGTTTCCTTTGCTGCAGTTGGTTTCCAGAAATGAAAGACATGACCCGGACAGTATTTACCCAAATTTTGGGGTTAAAGACCGAATTCCCTGAAGGCTTTCTGCATCCAGACTCTGAGGATGGACTAACACTGTCAGGTTGCCTTTGCTGGGCGATGCCGGTCGTGTGAATGCGGGCCACACAGAGTAGTTACGGAACCACAGTGCAATAGGGTGCTGGTCCCGGCGCCTGCCCCGCAGCTCTCCACTAGTTGTCCTGAGTCTCCACGTGCGGAGGTCCCCACGGTTGTGAAAGGCGGTTTTCCGTTACGAAACGGAATCAAATTAAACACCGCTCCCAGGATTCAAGGCTGAATTCTTTAGTGCCCATCCCACCGTGCCCCCCGGGCCTGATGCTTCCTTCTCGGTGCGGAAGGGGTGATGTCAGCCTTCTGGCTTCAACTCAAAGGAGCAAAAGAATTACAAAAGAGAAAATTTTAATAATTAGATCTATTTTTCAATTTGTATTTTTTCAACTCTGAATTTGAAATATAAACTCCAGTACCAAACATGTTTGTATTATGTTCCATGCATTCACCATAGTTCAGTAAAGATGCAATTTGATTATATTTCTGGCCGTTGACTTTTCTTATACCTGGCTAGTTCACTCATTTATGTGGCCTGCCTGGCTCCTGTAGGCATTTGAGTTTCCGATCCCTGCCTACAGCTCTTGAGTCTGGGGGAGGGAGGGAGGAGGGAGGCTGGGGACTTCGAACAACTCCCTAGGACCGTGATTCCCACACCAACGAAATGTGGAGTAGGAGACACTGGTGTTAATCGACGAGGGAAAGTGGGCGTGGTTTCCCAGACAGTGCGTGTAGCAGGGGTTTCTGAAAACTCAGATGGCTTCACGGACCAGGCAGGTGATGGAAATGTGTGAAGCGGACGGGTGTAAGACGGTAGGGAATGATGGGGACTGTGGCGAACTTGGAGAGTGCTTGCCCCGCCCAAAGGCATTCAAATTAAAGACAAAACACACTGAGGACCAAACAAAAATCTGCTGGTGGGTCTGATGAGGCCGCTGGGCTGCCATTTGCGACCTCTGGAAGAAGGAGAAGACGTGAGGACGAGGACAGAGCCCCGAGAAAGACCCACGGGTGAGGGGCGGGCAGGGAGGGAGCCAGAAGGCAGGAGACGAGGCGAGTGTGTGCTGGAAGCTTGAGTGTTTCTGAAAAGAGAGTGATGGACTGTGTCCAAAGCGGCCAACGGGGGAAGACGGTGGAGGGCAGCCAGCGCTGTTTCCACTGGGGTGGAGGGTACCCTGCAGGGAAACACAGGTTTGGGTCCAGGACAAACTGAAGGAAAAGAAATGTTTCCAGCCGCTGGTTTGGTCGTCTCCAGCCAGGGAGGCCCTCTGGACCTCAACACCCAGTTAGATGAACCTAAGGGACTGTCGGGCTCCCATCTCGGGGCCATATTCACAGGGCGAAGCAGGAAAAAGCCCGGGGTTAAGATGCCCAAAGAGCGGGGAGAGATCTAGACACAGAACCCCCTCCCCATTTCACAGCCCAGGTAGAGACGTCGGGCGGACGTGCTTGGCGTGCCCGTTGGAGCCAGCCAATGCCAACAGAGCACATCTTTTGGGGACGTTTTTCTCCGAGTGCCAGGTATCGATAAAACTGTGTAAGTGTAGAAATTAGCAAAAACCTTAGAACAGGAAGGTTAACATTCCAGCCCCAGCACCGATTAGCTCTGTGGCTTTGGGCAGGTCCCTGTGCCTCTGTGAGCCTCAGTTTCCCCATCTGTCAAGTAGTGACTTCCCTGTAGGATTGGCCACCTGGCAGGCTCGGCACAGCCGCCCACCACAGAGGGCTACTATGGCCACTGTGGTCATCACTGGCCCCAAACGCTCTTAGACGGCAGGTGTGCTGGGCAAAGCTCGTCAGAATCACCGAGTGTCCCCGGAGGCTGTAACTGGGTGAGTGACTGACTGGAAGGAAACCTCTGTTTTTCTTTTCTTTTTTTATTTTTTTAAGAGAGAGAGAGGTGAGCCTCAGTTTCCCCATCTGTCAAGTAGTGACTTCCCTGTAGGATTGGCCACCTGGCAGGCTCGGCACAGCCGCCCACCACAGAGGGCTGCTGTGGCCACTGTGGTCGTCACTGGCCCCAAACACTCTTAGAGGCAGGTGTGCTGGGCAGAGCTCGTCAGAATCACCCGAGTGTCCCTGGAGGCTGTAACTGGGTGAGTGACTGACTGGAAGGAAACCTTTGTTTTTCTTTTCTTTTTTATCTTTTTAAGAGAGAGAGAGACAGATATCGATTGGTTATTCCACTTCGTTATGCATTCATTAATTGGTTCTTGCATGTGTTCGGTGATCAAACCCATACCCTTGGCATATCAGGACAATGCTCTTACCAACGGCTCCCCGGCCAGGGCCCAGAAACCTTTCATTTTTGACTAGTTTGCTCTTTGTCCGTGTATCCAGAGCTGGAAGCAAGACTGAGAAATGGCCCTGGCTGGGTGGCTGGGTGACTGGGAGCGTCGTCCCATGCACCAGAAGGTTGTGTGTTCAGTTCCCCTGTCAGGGCACATGCGTAGGTTGTGCCTTTGACACCCCGCCCCTCCCCTGTCAGACTGTATACAGGAGGCAACCAATTGATGTTTCTCACATCTGAATGGTTCCCCCCCACCCCCTCAAATTCTTAAAAAATGCCCAAGAAATGCATGAGACTTTGGTCTCAAAGGAGCAGATCTGGCAAAAGTGGCAGAACATAAATTGAAAAAAAAAATTTAAGGCAAAAATGCTAAAACATCAACGCGCTAATAGTTGTGAACCTGTCTTGGGTGAGAAAAATGCCCCCATTCTGCCTCTATAAAGAAAAATTATGAGAAAAGAGATACCTTCTAAAAAGGTGTATTTGTCTCCGGGTACACAGAACTCACTAAAACAGGTTTTCCCACCATCTTGGGTTTTTTAAAAAATTAATATTAAAAATATATTGACTTACACATATGTTCAGTTTCATAAAGATGAGAAGGCACCAAAGTGCGTAGAACAAAAAGTGAAGGACCTTTCCTCCTACCCCTGCCCCAAACACACCGAACAAGCCGCTCTTCCCAGAGGCAGGCCCATCAGTTTGGCGTTAGAATTTACACGCATGTGGTTGTAGACACGTTTTTAGTTTCTTACATGTTTTACATAAGTGGGTCAGTGTCTGTGTTGACCTTTATTTTGCTTTTGTTTTCCCAGTCGAGCAACGGCCAACCATTCGTGTCATTACATGTGACTCTCCTGTTTAAATGGTTGCCATTGGCCGTGCATTAGAGGGACACATTCCATTTCCACAAACCATCCCGTCTGTGTGAGCTCTGTCGCTGTGTAACAGGCCCCACCACTCAGTGGCTGAAAACAACAGGTGTGGATAGTCTCACAGTTGCTCTGGGTCAGGGAGTCAGGCACGGCTTCGCTGGGGCCTCTGGCTCAAGGTCTCTCTCAAGGTCGTAGTCAAAGCTCACCCGGGGGAGGGCCCACTTCCAAGCTCACGCCAGTGCGTTGGCAGGATTCACTTCTTCCCAGGAGACTGGCTCGGGGTCTCGCTCCCTCTCTCGCCCTGTAGCCTCTTCATGGGGCAGCTCACTTCCCCAGGTGGGCTGGCTTCTCTAGAAGTGAGAGAGGGCACCCCAGGTGGAAGCTGCAGGCTTTTCGGGACCTAGTCTGGGAAATGCTAGGCCATCACTTTTGCGGTATTTTGTTCATTACAAGTCACTAGGTCCAGCCCACACAGAAGCTGAGAGGATTCAGGGTGTAATACCAGGAGGCGGGGACCATGGGGTCATCTTGGAGGCTGCTTGCCACACTGTGGGCATTTGGCTTGCTGTGTAGTTTTCACTATTATAAAAAACCGGAGGCCTGGTGCATGAATTTGTGCACAGGTGGGGTCCGGCCAGCCCTCCCAATCCGAGCCAGGCAGGCCAGGGGGAGGGGACATGGGAGATTGGCGGCTTGCCCTGCCCCCCCCCCCTTGGGGGTGTGGAGGCTGGCTGGGGAAAGGGGCCCTGGGCGGTTGGCGGGCCAGCCCCGCCCCTGGTCAAACTCCCAGTCGAGGGGACAATTTGCATATTACCCTTTTATTATATAGGATACTGTGGAGGGTAAGCATATATCTGTATTTTCTCACATGTGCAGGAATTCCAATGTGATACATTCCTAGCAGCAAATATTTAAGATTGAGGAGTATGCCAATTTTACTTTTGTTTATTTGACTGCTTAAAAATTGAAGTTATTTTTTGCATATATAAAACCTTCATATGGTTCATACGTTGTTACCAAAAGCAACCCAACACAGTCCCAACTCCTTCTGGAAACCACCAATTTCTCGTGTGTGTTTTCTGAGATATGTATAAGCAGGTAAAAGCAAATAGGGAAATATATTCATTTTGTGGCTCTTCTCTCCAGCTCACTCTTTGCAGCTCAGAGAAGGAAGACTTGCTTCCCCTCTGTAGAATGGGGATAAGATTGTCAACCTCATGTCCGCGCGTGTGAGGATTCAGGGAGTTCTTATGAAGTGTTTAATTTTTCAAAATATGTTTTTATTGATTTTAGGGAGAGAGGAAGGGAGAGGGAGAGAGAGAGAGAAACATCAATGAGAGAAACAACATCGATCCACTACCTCCTGTACGCCCCCTACTCGGGATCCAGCCCGCAACCTGAGCACGTGTCGTGTGCCCTGACCGGGACTAGAACCTGTGACCTCTTGGTGCGTGGGACAGTGCTCAATCCACTGAGCAACACTGGCCAGGCTAACTTTTTATTTAAGATTTATTGATTGATTTTTAGAGAGGGAGAAAGAGAGAAACATGGATTTGTTGTGCACTCATTCATGCATTGTATGTGCCCTGATGGGAGGTTGAACCTGCACCTTCTTGGTGTATTAAGATGACACTCTAACCACCTGAGCTACCCCACCAGAGCCTACTTAATTTTCTTAGTCCTCATCTGAAGATCTGTTTTTATGGATTTTTTTTTTAGAGAAAGGAAGGGGGGGAAGGGAGAGAAAAAAACATTGATTGGTTGCTTCACATATGTGTCCCAACAGGGATCGAACCCACAACCTAGATATGTGCCCTGACCAGGAGTTGCAACCTTTTGGTTTATGGGATGATGCTCCAATCAATTGAGCCACCTGCCCAGGGCTAATTTTTTTTTTATTATTTTTTGGTAGATATAGTGGAAGGGAGGGGCAGGGGGGAGAGAAAGAGAGATGAGAGAAAGACTCATGGATTGGTTGCCTCCCCACGTGCCCTGACTGGGAATCAAACCGTGACCTCTTGGTTCATGGGTAGATGTTCAACCACTGAGCCACACCAGCCGGGCTGGGGTGCCGAGATTTTAAACTGACAACTGCCAAACTGCCCCCCTCCAAAATACATCTGGTCTACCCACCCACTCCTCCCAGCGCACAGAAGGAAGAGTCCCGGCCGGACCTTACCTCTGAAGGTAAGGAGAAAGGCTTGGGTTGGGGAGGTCGGCTTTACAACCTGAGAGCCTTTGGGACAGTGTATGCTGGC